ATATAATAATAATCGCTATGATATGTTCTACCAAAAGTATAAGCAAACTATGGAAACTGTAGTTCTTCATACCAGTCTACGAAGACTACACACAAGAGATGTAGTCATGACAATATATTCGATGTTAGAAGCATGTTGCAAAACGCAAAATGGGATATATCTGAAAGTGTTTCATCACAGGACACTATTGACCCACTTACATGTAATCTTAAATTTTGCCTTTTTATCAGATTTGATAGGACTTGTTCTCTGCCATTAAAGAAACTGTGAAGAGAAAATGGGAAAAGCATACCAATAGAATGACAGTTCTGGCGCTAAACGATGTAACTGACTGACTAAGTAAAGAGCTTGAACTTAATATATGACCAGAGGATTAAATCATATGAAATTATTTTTGATACATATGGAGATATTTTGATGATCTTACTGGTAGAAAAAAGGATCTCCGAAAACCTGGGGGTTGTGGCAGCTGTTTTGTTTTAGTGTGGTGCTCCTCAGTAGTACACACCTATGACGTATAGGGATCGAACTCAGGACCTTCAGGCTTCATGGTGAACGAGTTAACCATTCCTTCGCTGGGTTGGATTTCAGCGGTGTAAAATCCTCAACATGTCAATTCATGGTATAGCGCGATTATTACCCACGATCTCCAATAGTAATCATCCGCTTCCCATCCAGCTGGCTGACTCCACAAGTCATAACTTCTCTTTATTTAACATAAAGTTGCAGCCTATTTGTCAACAGTTAACTAAATTCATAGTCAAAAACTCATTTCAGTTTATTGAGATGGTAAGTCAGCGTAATATCCTGAATGGGATAATAATGTCCTTTGATGTGATTTCCTTATTGAGCTCAATACCTCTTCATGGAACTATAAATATTATCTGTCAGCACGTTGATCTCCTTCTTCTCACAATAAGTGAATTCTAATATGCATGAAAGATGTTCGTTTCCAGTTTGACATTATTCTATATCATCAAATTGATGGAGCTAAAGTGGGCAGCTCATTAAGAGTCATAATGCGAGATATTTACAGAAATAATCTTAGGTTGATGAACTCAAATATAAGACTGATGAAATAATCTCTTGATATGGATAAGTCGACGGTACGTTCAATGTATGTAGGAATTTACTTAATGCATGATATCTGCTTGTAGTCTTCAGTGATGTACATAAAAACATTAGCTTCATAATAATACATAACGATAATAGTAAATTCAACTCTCTTTATATCAGAAACAAACATTGAACTTATGGTATGTTTAACAGTTCCATCCACCTCAAGTGGCACATAGAACGCCCTTTACCTTAATTTCAGCACTGACTAGAATATTGTCCATAGAGAACGAAGAATACGATCATCAGGAAAACTAGGGAAGGAATTATTGTTTCTTAAGAGGTATTCTAAAGAAGACGTTTACCCACAAAGCTTCTCGAACCAATACAGTAGAAGAAAATGTAGTAAAATCTAGAGAATAACGGTCATTGAGAAACCGGTCTTCATCTACCTCCACTTCAAAGATGATGATACTCTAATGATGGTAAACAGAAGGCTATACCCTGCACTTATTACAACGCGTTCCGTAAAAAAGCTAGTTTCTTTACTTCTAACTGCTTATTTGCTGGTAAAAATCAAAAACTGACAGGTATCCCTCATATTTTATCTTCGATTGTGGGTTTCAGTTCATATGTATCTGCTGGAATAGTTACTTTGGGAGAACGGAAAGAAGAGCCTACCATCGATATTTTGAATATATCCTAGAAAGCTTATGACTTGGAGGGACAAGTATTTTCAAGTGTACCTACTAGGAACTTGATGAACATAGGATATCAATCAAATGCCTTGGAATTGTTCAAAATAATTAACAACAAAGACAGAACCACTTAAATCTTCTTCGCCTCAATGAAGCTATTGTAACCAAATACCCGAAACTCAAGTTATGTATTTGAAAGGAATCTATCATCAGTCTTCAAGTACCCTGGTAAACTAATTTCTTAATCTTCCATTGATTTGGTTGCATAACTATCCAATCATTAGGTTTCCAGTTTACACCGGACCCCAGTCTTTATCAAATGACTTCCAATTAATATTTTGTATTACATTTTGTTTTTCTGACTACTAACAATTTATCTATTCATTGATTGATGCAAATTCTTGTTACGAAATTCCACTGTATTCGTTTTTCTACCACTATCTATTTTTTTGCGAGAACTTCTTTTTCAATTAAATTTTGAGGGAGTTGTGGAGATTTGGAATATATTTCAAGTTGTTATTCATTGTAGACTGACATCAGTTGGAGGAACAAAGAAAACCTGGGAGCATTGGACAGCTGTTTCGTCCGACTAGTATGGGACTCCTCAGCAGTGCGCACCCACGACCCCACACCAGCAGGGATCGAACCCGCGACATTCAGGTTCCACGGCCAGCGCGTTACCATTGAACCACTGGGTCAGAATCCAAAGGTCCATATTTCCAACTTCTGTTAGCTCACGATATAGCGCAACCGCCACTCAATGTCATCATTGAGTATCTGTCCTCACGGCCATCAGGCTTTGACTCCACCGGTCACAACTTCTCATTGGAACTTCAGGAATACTTCTCGAAGCTAGTCACCAATGAGCACCAGTTCAATTAAATTTTGAGGGAGTTGTAGAGATTTGGAAATATTTCAAGTTGTTATTCATCGAAGACTGACATCAGTTGGTGGCTCAATGGTAACGCGGGTGGTCGCGGAACCTGAAGGTTGTGGGTGCGCACCACTGAGAAGTCCCATACTAGGACGAAACAGCTGTCCAGTGCTCCCAGGTTTCCTTTTTTCCTCCAACTGATGTCAGTCTTCGATGAATAACAACCTGAAACTTCTTTTTTAATAAATTATATAAATATAACATCATTGTATGTTATTTTGACTTGATTTCAATTAACAGACTTGCTTTTATTTCGTTATGTTATTGCCCTATCTCGATTGATGTTATTTAACTGAAGTGTGGTAATATCATCTTGTAACTTGTTAATATAAATATCCCGGGCTGTAATCAGCTGAGAAGAATCACTGAAATAGTAAAACAGGTTCATATTGATAAGCTCCAGTGTTTGCTTCTATTCTTTTACTTTTCTATACGAGAAATTTTAACAAGACAGTGAAGCAATTAAGTTTAATGACTTCATTCCTAGATCATATGAGATTTACTGATGAATAAATTCCTGTTGAAGACTAGAAACTTACTAATTGTAATCAAATTTAAGCATATAAATAACTGTTATTTTAGAGAAAGAAGATTAGTGAACCATTGCAGTAAGCAATCTTGCCAAAGAATGATACGGAGAAGTGCATTTGTTGGCTGTTAGCTCACTTATAGTCATATCGAAAGTGTAGATTTTTTTTTGCATATGATTTATGACTTGTAGCATATCCAATAGATTATCCGCTATTGAATTACTTCAAGTATCCAATGGTTTCTGGCTTCTAAAAGCTACTAGTTACAAAAATACCGTAAAATTAATTATTTTGCTTTTATACTTGTCAGTAATGTCTGTTGCATATACTTGATATTGACATTTGCCAGCAATCTCGATGGAACTGATGTCCCCTCTGGGTGATGCAGGTTTTAATCTCAGACGGCAAACACACAACCAAGGTTTTGGGCTTCTTTCCGACCACCTCTGCATAACTAACATCCTTCTCAGTGCATTATGAGACTCAGTTTCTTAGCTTTGTAGAAACAAGGATCAGATCAACACTCAGAAATAGACGACGTGAAATAGGCTACCCTCTAGTGACCAACCAATGTAAGATACTAGTATGCTGAAAACTGGTGAAGAATCATTCGATTTTTTAAAGGCTAGTTAGTTAGAAGTCCAGTTCAAACTTCTGTTCGACCGATATATGTACGAATGACTGTTTTATTCTTCCCAGTGCATAGAAGTAGAGAAGACTGAGAAGTCTGACTGAGATTTCCCAGTGTGATAAATAAATGCTTTACTGTAGTCAAGTACAATTCGATTAATGTTTAACGGCATAAAATAAGTGTAACTGACTCATGCATGCATGTCGAATAAAATGTTTCATTGCATTACTAGCTATTTAGTGTCTCTATACAAGACCGTTTTATTAACTGAAGATTGGTTCCTTTTTCACTGATGTAGAAGAACGAATATTCGAAAACAGCTGAATAATAAATTTACTTTATTTAGCTGCAACCGGAATCCTTTTTTAGTAGACCTTACTGAACTATCGAAGTTTTTTATCAGTTGAAAGAAAAATGAAGTCATAGGTAAGCGTAGAATTTTATTGTACTGAACTATGATCAAACAAAGAGAATGATCTCGTCACTTTCTGTTAAAGAATCTTTGATTTAAATCACATTTATGTATTTGTGACGTATGCCAACTGCAATCAGAATACCTAGTAGTTAATTCAGTTTTGAGGTTTCTGAGAATTCATCCGTCTCAAGGTAGTATATATCGCTGACTGACGTCCACTGAAGTATCAATAAATACCTGGTGGCACTAGGTAGCTAGTTTGTTTCAATTTGAGTTTTCAATACATCCTTATGATAGACATATATACTTATATATATGTCAGATTTTGAATAGTAACCTTGAAGGTCACTCAGTTTCGCGAAAACAGAAAATAAGCGGAAAAAGGATAAATTTTTTCGCGAACTTTCAGGATGATAGGACTAGCTGTGAAGTCGTTTCAGGTAATTCCAGGCTAACTTGATGAGTCTAGAAAATATTATCGCACTGCATAAAAGTTTTTCTCAGCCGTACGCAATAACCCTGAAATCAATCAATCCATCCCCAAAAACTTGCAAATTGAATTAATATCAACTACTTATTAGTGGTGTACTTGAAGATGAGACTTCCTAAAGTTTCATTGAATAGTTGTAACGGTAGGGGAGACGAATTCGGAGTGAAAGAAAATTACTCAACGATCGTATTTCATGAATTTCGCTCTATCTCGTGAATTGAAAGAATCAAGAAAATGTTGATTATATACCACGGAATTTACAATTCGTGGATCTGATCTCAGGTAGGGTCATGGATGCATTTAGTGATCCCAGACTTTTTACTGGTTCTGAAACTGATGATATTCAGCGGATAATAATTCCTTGATACCCACTGATGTCATTACGTACACAGTTAACTGTAGGTATTAAAAGTATTGACACTTCTGTTATATGACAATTAAATGAAACTGTTTATTTAAGTAAGCTATTCAGTGAAGTGAAGCGGCTTTCTCTTCAGAGTGAGAGAAAATAAAAAGTAATAGTACAATGGTAAGTAAGATTGAGACTCTTACCAATTAGGTGAATAGAAATGAAGGGAAGCATTTAACTGATACAATATTCGGCAAAAACTTGTATGAATATACTTCTTCTGAAAGTATCAGTAGATAGTGCAGTCGGTGGCATTTTTGAATATTTCTAAACTGAAGTAATAAAATCTTCACCTTTTGTCTCGGTAAACAGTTTTATTAGTTCACTATGTGTCAAACTATTAAAGTTATTAATTTCAGGTTGAATAACTTTAATTGAATTATAATTCTGTTGATAATGTTGTTGTAAATCACAACTCATATACTCACATGATTCTGATGGATATAGTTGGTTATTATAACTGTGATATGTTAATTGTGGTGTATCAATTGAACATCTATATACAATTTGATTTAAGTAATTTGGATTTATATTTATCCTAGAAATTTTTAAATCTTTTAATGTGATATTCTTTGATTGAATGGAATCATGTTCAAGGTAAACTGGATTGAAACTATTAGTCAATTGAATATCAGAGGTATATTGAGGAATTAATCTATTCCAATTTTTATCAAATTTTTCTAAATCTGAATATCTTACACATTGTTGCTCTTCATACTGATTAACTTTGTTTGGATAACTTTCAAAATTCATTGTATTATTCTCTTCAATTGACTGTATGTTTTCTAAGGATAATTTTGAATAATGTGAATATGATATTCTTATTTCAGGAGATATTAGATTATTATTTTTAACATGGTATATGTCATGATTAGTTCCACTGTAATGTATCATACCATTTTCTAATGATTTTATTGCAACATTTTTATCATTATTAACTTGTAAAGTATTACTAGATGTAATAATATTTGATAGAAATATAAATTTTTTACGTACATACAAATCTATCAATGTACAACATAATAATAAAGATAACAATGGTAATGAAAATAAACTTGAAAAATAATTTAAAGTAAATCCATAATGATATAGTCTTAAAGAACTATTCATTGAATTATTTAGGTAATTCAATTGTTCAATTTTTATTATAAAGATATTTGGTTTAATCATAATAAAAACATTCAATTGTAATGGTATAGATATGAAACAAGAAATTAATACAAATAAATGTGTTGGACGATTAAAATACTTTAAAATTTTTAAATTATAAGGTTCTTGTAAAGTCTTTATTCTTTTAAGTACATTGACTAAAGGAATTGAACAGTATTGTAATGTTAGAATAGATAATAAACCTGTGAATATATTTAATGTACCACTTAGAAAATAGAATATTTCTCTTGCTTTTAGCCTAATAAATATAGAATCATATAAAGTTATATAAGATATTTCAATTGATTGTAAAACACTTCCAAGTATAGTTATACCACCGAATATTATTAATATAGACGATAACAATGAAGTTAATCGTGTCAGTTGAGAACAGAATATCAAATCCTCTTTTAAGTTTATTAAAGAATTTAAAGTATTATTCTTGTGTATTATATTACAACTTTTCTTCAGTATATATTGTCTACATGAAAATCTACTAGAAATGCATAAACCATATATATTTATTATTAACAGTTTAAAGATTAAAACTATTAATCCAATATGTTGTATCTTTTCAACAGTTGTATCAATCAACCATTCTTTAATGTTTAAATTTAGGGAAATTAGTAAATTTTCATCAATATTCAATATGAAAAGTTTATATATTCTTAAACTAATAGTTGTCATTATCATTAAACAACCAAATAGTCCAGCTATATTAGCTAATAGACTTGAAAATTTATAATATCCATATGATATATCTATCCTATCATCAGAATTAGTATAATCACTTGGAAATGGTATCCTTGAATTGGATAATATTTTTTTATCATTTAAATAATAATTATATATTAATAAACTGTATAAACTTGTAATAAAGTATAAACTAGCTGAAATAATATTTAAAAGACTACCAAATATTTCTGTACAGTATGTAATCAGTGTATGTTGTTCACATTTCAAATGATTTATCATTAAAATCTTATGATTTGTAAATACATTATTATTATTATTACTATTATTATTATTATCATTATAACTAGAGATGAAATCAATTTTCACTTCTCTATAAGGATTACTATTATACTCCATAATTGATTGTTGATTTTCACATATCTGATAAAAACTATCCAAAATTTTTAATCCTGAAATTGATAAATATAATGTTGAAAATAAAAGATTTTTTAAACTAATATTACTTGTATAATAGGTTAGTTTATTCATAGTTACTTCTTTTTTCTCCATTTTAATAATTTCAGAATAAACTTATTAAATATTTATATGAATGGTTATCATTCATTGGACTATTGAATTATATCATTATTTCATTTAAACAAAAAATATATATATATTTGTTTTAATATCAAATGAATATGATTCAACATGATTATGTAATAGGATTACATTTAGATGATAATAAATGTTATAAAACTGAGAGATTATATTAGTATTATTACAGTTCATAGGATTATATCAAGAGGATTTTATGAAAAATAGAGAAAAGGACATATATATTACCGTCCGTGTGGATTGGATGTCTTTCTCTCTCTCTCTCTCTCTCTCTCTATATATATATATATATATATATATATATATATATATATATATATATATATAGATATATATATATATTTCGATGCGTGAATGTATGCGTGCGTATATGCCCATGAATGTCAGAGAGACACATTTATAGAAGAATTGATATAACGATTTTACTGATTGTTTTTGTTTAGGTTAGAAGAATATTGTTTGGCAGATAGAATATAGAGGAAAACATAGATTTCAATGTATTCTACACCTAAGTAATTATTGTATTAGTTCAAACTACCAAATAATTTGTGTTTGTTATAAGTGAATCGAATAGACCAACCTGTGTTGACATATGAACTCTTATGTAAATGTCTTGATATTGCCTAAACATTCATTATGATGTGATATACTTGTTGGTGCCTTGAAGTTTCTTTAGCGATTGGATTAATTTTATGGGGTAGGGTTGTTAGCCCTATGCCCAATCTTCCTTTTTTATCCAGGCTTAGGACAGGCGAGTAACTAGTGAACTAATTAACAACTGCTTACGCTCGTTACTGAAGATCAGATGGCTAGAATAATAAGAATAAGCAACAAAGAACTCTGACAATGAACCAAACAAGAACCTATCACCCAACAAATATGTAGGAGAAAGTGGAGATGAATTGGGCATACAGTTAGGAAGCCATTCGGAGACATCACACTCCAGGCCATGCCGTTGAATGGAACCCAGATAGGAAGCGGCGAGTTGGGCGTCCGAGGCGAGGGTGATATGGAGGAGATGGTGTGAGGAGGAAATGAGAGCTTGTGAGCATTCGTGGAGACAGGTTGAAAAGATTGCAGAGAAGAAAGTGGAGTGGAGGCGTGCTACTGAAGCTCTATGTTCCACTAGGAACCCAAGGGACAAATAATAATAATAATAATAATGATACTTGGTGGTTGCTAGAAGTAGAGTCCAAGATGCACCTTACGTTCAATTTGTGACTCATCAACAAACTTTAAAATGCATCATATAATCTTCCAACTGTTTTTCCGAATTAAGTATTATTGTTTGTATTATACAGTCGTTGACTGAACCCAACTGATCAATCTCCATTGGCATATCGGCTCCTGCGCAGATGCGTCAGTAATACCTGTCTTACTTCTATGCAGTAATGATGGATACTGGCTAGCAATCGAATCCAGAATGCATATTTTGTCCTATATGAGACTGGTCATCGGGATTGGCTTACCTCCTAGTGAATGATGTTGTTCCCACTGGGACTGGAACTCAGGAGCGACCTCTTCAAACGCCAGAGCGTTATCCATTAGACCACAGAGCCACGATAGTCACTTTTTATGCGGCGGGTATGGTTTTAGTGCTGTTGCTTGTATTATACCGTAATTGATTGCACCAAATTGATTGGTCCTTATTGGTATATGGGCTGTCGCGCAGGCCTCGATATTACCTTTGCTTTAGTTGTAGTAACTGTAGTAATACAAGCAATAATACTAAAATGATACCCGTAGCACAAGAAGTGACTATCGTGGCTCGACGGTCTAGTGGATGACGGTCTGACGTTTGGAGTCATCGCTCCCGAGTCCATATCCCGGTGGGAACAACATTCATTAGGAGGCAAACACATCCAGCTGACGAGTCCCAAATAGGATGAAATGAGCATCCTGGATTCCACTGCTACCCACTATCCATCATTACCGTCTTGCCGAATATTTGTAGTTTTTCCATGAAATATAGAATACTGACCGATAAAGATAGGTGGAAAGATCAAAATTCTCAAGGGTGACGGAAACTTCTCACCAGATTGAACTGGCAGCAGAAAAGTGAAAAAAACTTTTGCTCACTTGACACAAGTGACGTAAAACTACACTTATTTACTGTACATTTTTTCATCCCATAATTCCTCATTAGCTAAACTTCCCTAATGGTATCAGAGTATTATATTAATGATTCACAGTGGCCAGCAGCTAAAACCAGGACGCACGTTCCTTCCTGTTTAAGACTCGTTAGCTGAATGTACCTCCCATCAAATGGGCAATGTTATTCCCACCAAGATTCGAACTCGGAATAGACCTCATCAAACGCTACCACGTTATCTACTAGGTCAGTGATTTACGATAGCCCCTTCTTATCCGAAGGGGTATGGTTTTTAATATTGTTACTTGTATTATCCCGTCGTTGATTCTACCGAATTCGTTCGGTCTCTACTGGTATATAGATTCCTTGTGTGGTTACCTCATTATTACTCGTGGCTCAGAGTTATACTAATGACGATAGTGCGCAGCAGAGGAGTCCACTGCTCACTGGGAGGAAGTTACATCCAGTTGATGAGTCTTAAGTGAGACGAAACTCGGTTCTTGGACCACGCTTCTAGCCACTATCTGTCATTAATATCAAAACTGAAGGTACAAGTAATATCGAGGCATCCACGCAGCATCCAATATGCTAATACAAACCGATCAAATTCGATCTAGTCTACAATGGTATGACATAAGTAACAACAAGTATATTAGAGTATATTTGAACGCTTGCATTTTCAGTTCTCTTTGATTGTATACCAACAACAGTTACACTGGCCATGAAAGTCAACAGTATCAATTTTCATTTGACGTATTTTATTTCAGTACCTGTTTATAGGAAACACAAAAGGTGATTGTGGTGAATAAAAATTTTCTTTTCGATGAAATCATTCTCTTAACTACACATCTCTGAATGTATAGTAGAAAGGATAGAACACTGTAGAGTAATTTTCGGTCAAAATTCAATACAAATTGTGTGACAAAGGGAAGTTATGCAATATCCATAGGGGTTTAAAATTAGAAAGCGAGGGAGGAAATAATCACAAATGCGAAGTAGTTGCGTCATATCCAAATTTTGTAGATTGATCGATACTTTACAATGGTCTTGACAAAGAAAGAGGTTTTACATACTTCGTTCGAATGTGCAGTGACAGTTTGAATTTCTGTATCGCTAAGGCTTCAACCATAGGCAGGTGCATGGTATGCCCGATGTACTTGGCTCCATAGAAGCAAGTTAACTAATACACACACACACACATTGATGCGACTCAATGCTCCAACCTATCTTTCAAGTACTGATGAATGAATTTCTGAAAGAAGAATGTAATTCGAAGATTCGCGACAAAAAGAATTATCACAGAGTACTCAGCTTTACATTGATGTGCTGATGGCAGTAGTGCAAAATAAGTGACATGATTTATTCTAGACTCTTGCTTAAATCTGCAAGAGGATAGTTTGTATGACTAATGGTTAGAATCATGAAGTGAATCTTGATATCGATGTCATTTGCATTTGCTTGCATTTCATTGGTCAGCAAGGAATTTTAACACGTATTTCTTTGAGTCTTCTAGAAAACTTAATCACAGATCTGTTGTTTTTATTTTACGCCATACTTTCCTACATTTGTTCAAGTTAGTTCCAATTTCTCTTTAAAATTTCATCATATTTTGTCTACCCCGAATGTTCGGGATTTTCGATAGCCAAATAGTTATCCTTTTAGTCGAGAGCAAGTTGTTTTATCCCATATGATTACGCAATCCCTTTCTAACACTAGCAATGACTTACTGTTCCCTTTCAGACCATTAAATTTAAATTATTTGACGTAAACCTGCGAACCAGTAATAGACATACATTCCTGTTAATGCCCTAAGTAAAAATGTACAGTACTGGATGAATTCAATGGCTTCCATCCAGCAATAACTTTCACTATTGAAACAGAAAGTGACGACAGCATCACCTTCTTAGATGTCCGATTGACAAGGAAGTTGGATGGAACTATAAAAAGAAGTGTGTATCGGAAACCAACGTCAACAGGTCAATACACCCACTTCTTGAGTCTTGTCCCCTTGCAATGTAAACGAAATCTCGTTAGATGTTCGGTCCATCGGGCGAGACTCATCTGTTCAGATGATACTTTTGACGAAGAGCTTCAAATTATCCACGATATACTCAGTAGTAATGGATATCCAGAAACGTTCCTGGCTAAAAATATGAACACATCCAATATGAAAACCAGAATGCCTACAGTCTCCAAGAAACCATTGTTCCTAAGATTACAATTTCGAGGTGACATCATCAACGAAATTGTGACACAACGCTTAAGAAATGCCATAAGAAGATCATTTATTGCCGCCAAGTTATGTTGTGTTTTCTACAGCCGGCCGATGATGACCACACGAACTAAAGACAGACTGCCTGACTTCTCCTCTTCTATGTGCATTTATCAGTTCAACTGCTCCTGTGGAGCTAGTTACATTGGACGTACAGTTAGGAAGGTCCGTCGTCGAATCGCCGAGCATCATCCTTCATGGCTAAGTAAGAGAGAAACCAGATTGACACGAAGCTCAATACTCTCTCATCTGATTGACACCGGCCACCGAGTTAACATTCATAATGCCTTTAAAGTTATTTATCACATTCCTTTTCACCTCACCCATCCTCTACGAGTTCGTCTTTTACATACAGCAGAAACCATAGGAATCCACCTACACAAGCCAAGTCTGTGTGTTCAGAAGAGATTCGTACAGCCTCTTTATTTGCCTTGGCCATCTGTATAGCTCATTTATTACAACAAGACTCTTCATTTCATCCACCACACAATTCACTATAACTAATATTTTAGTAGCTCCATTATTATTATTATTACAGACTTAACCACCTTTCTCTCCCCCTACTGTCTCTAATTACCGTCAACAATTTAC